AATATTTGGGTGTTTTTGCTTGAGCTGTACGAGATGAAAGTCTCATATACAGTTCTCGGAGGGGGGACCGGGCCTATCTCAATAAAGTATATGATTGGTTTGAAGAACGTCTCGAGATTCAGGCGATTGAAGATGATATAACTAGTAAATATGTTCCTCCTCATGTAAACATATTTTATTGTCTAGGGGGAATTACGCTTACTTGCTTTTTAGTCCAAGTTGCTACAGGATTTGCTATGACCTTTTACTATCGTCCGACCGTTACTGATGCTTTTTCTTCTGTTCAATACATAATGACTGAAGCTAAATTTGGTTGGTTAATCCGATCATTTCATCGATGGTCGGCAAGTATGATGGTCCTAATGATGATCCTACATGTATTTCGTGTATATCTCACCGGTGGATTTAAAAAACCTCGCGAATTAAACTTGGGTTACAGGTGTGGTTCTGGGTGTATTGACTGCATCTTTTGGTGTAACTAGTTATTCCTTACCTCGGGACCAAATTGGTTATTGGGCAGTGAAAATTGTAACAGGTATGCCTGAAGCTATTCCTGTAATAGGATCACCTTTGGTAGAATTATTGCGCGGAAGTGCTAGTGTGGGACAATCCATTTTGACTCGTTTTTATAGTTTACACACACTTTTGTATTGCCGCTTCTTACTGCCGTATTTATGTTAATGCACTTCCCAATGATACGTAAACAAGGTATTTCTGGTCTTTTATAGAGAAGAGATAGCATAGATCTTTTGAATTCATCATTTATCACTTGGGGTATTAAAAATAAATGAATCCAGGACTTGAATTCATGTTCTATCATTAAATTCCTCCTGATTTATTAGAACTAAAAGAATTCCATTTAAGCATAATCATGCTTTAGTTGAGAAGATTCCATTTGAATTGGAATCTGGTCATTCACTATGACCACGCTAAGCATCCATGGCTGAATGGTTAAAGCAACCCAACTCATAATTGGCGAATTCATAGGTTCAATTCCTACTGGATGCACGCCAATGGGACCCTCCAATAAGTCTATTGGAATTAGCTCTGTATCAATGAAATCTCATCATCCATACATAACGAATTGATATGGTATATTCATATCATACTATATGAACAATAAGAATTAGTAGTCTTATTGAGACTAGAACTCATAGGGAATCAAATCGATTTATGGATGGAATCAGGTATGCAATATTTACAGACAAAAGTATTCAGTTATTGGGGAAAAATCAATATACTTCTAATGTCAAATCAGGATCAACTAGGACATAAATAAAGCATTGGGTCGAACTCTTCTTTGGTGTCAAGGTAACCGCGATGAATAGTCATCGACTTCAGGGAAAGGCTAGAAGAATGGGACCCATTATGGGACAGACAATTCAGTACAGACGTATGATCATTACGCTTCAACTGGGTTATTCTATTCCACCTCTTAGAAAGAAAAGAACTTAAATCAAAATACTTAATAGCATGGCGATACATTTATACAAAACTTCTACCCCGAGCACACGCAATGGAGCCGTAGACATTAAAGTGAAATCTAATCCACGAAATAATTTGATCTATGGACAGCATCATTGTGGTAAAGGTCTTAATGCCAGAGGAATCATTACCGCAGGGCATAGAGGGGGAGGTCATAAGCGGCTATACCGTAAAATAGATTTTCAAGGGAATGAAAAAGACATATATGGTAGAATCGTAACCATAGAATACGACCCGAATCGAAATGCATACATTTGTCTCATACACTATAGGGATGGTGAGAAGAGATATATTTTACATCCCAGGGGGGATATAATTGGAGATACCATTGTTTCTAGTACAAAAGTTCCTATAAAAATTGGAAATGCCCTACCTTTGAGTGCGGTTTGAACTGTTGATTTACGTAATTGGAAGTAACCAATTAGGTTTACGATGAAACCTTGAAATCGATCACTGATCCAATTTGAGTACCTCTATAGGATAGACCTCAACAGAAAACTGAAGAGTAACGGCAGCACGTGATTGAGTTCAGTAGTTCCTCATATAAAATTATTGACTCTAGAGATATAGTAATATGGAGAAAACAAAATTGTTTCAAGCACCGACAGAACCGAAAGCGCCCCTTCTTTTAAAGAGAAGAGGACGGATTATTCACATTTCATTTGATGGTCAGAGGCGAATTGAAAGCTAAGCAGTGGTAGTTCTAAAGATTCCCAGGGGGAAAAATAGAGATGTCTACTACGTTACCCATAATATGTGGAAGTATCAACGTAATTTCATAGAGTCATCCGGTCTGAATGCTACATGAAGAACATAAGCCAGATGATGGAACGGGAAGACCTAGGATGTAGAAGATCATAACATAAGTGATTCGGCAGATTTTGATTCCTATATATCCACCCATGTGGTACTTCATTATACCATTATATAAGATCCATCTTTATAGATATCACCATCTACATCCAGAAAGCCGTATGCTTTGGAAGAATCTTATACAGTTTGGGAAGGGGTTTTGATTGTTAAAAAAGAAGAATCTACTTCAACCGATATGCCCTTAGGCACGACCATACATAACATAGAAATCACACTTAGAAAGGGTGGACAATTAGCTAGAGCAGCGGGTGCTGTAGCGAAAATGATTGCAAAAGAAGGGAAATCGTCCACATTAAAATTACCTTCTGGGGAGGTCCGTTTGATATCCAAAAACTGCTCAGCAACAGTCGGACAAGTGGGGAATGTTGGGTTGAACCAGAAAAGTTTGGGTAGAGCCGGATCTAAGCGTTGGCTAGGTAAGCGCCCTGTAGTAAGAGGAGTAGTTATGAACCTTGTAGACCATCCACATGGGGGTGGTGAAGGGAGGGCCCCAATTGGTAGAAAACAACCCACAACCCCTTGGGGTTATCCTGCACTTGGAAAAAAGAAGTAGAAAAAGAATAAATATAGTGATAATTTGATTCTTCGTCGCCGTAGTAAATAGGAGAGAAAATAGAATTTCTTTCTTCGTCTTTACAAAACAAAAAAATAGGAGGAAGCTGTGTCACGTTCACTAAAAAAAATCCGTTTGTAGCGAATAATTTATTAAAAAAAATAAATAAGCTTAACACAAAAGCATAAAAAAGAAATAATAATAACCTGGTCCCGGCCATCTACCATTATACCCATAATGGTCGGCCATACTATTGCTATCCATAATGGAAAGGAACATTTACCTATTTATATAACATATCGTATGGTAGGACACAAATTGGGAGAAATTGCAACTACTTTAAATTTCCGAGGCCATGCAAAAAGCGATAATAGATCGCGTCGTTAAAAAACGTGTGTTTATGTATAATAATATTTATAGATATTTATCATTTATTAGTAGGAGGCGAACTTTATGTTATATAAGAGAACAACAGAAGTATACGCTTTAGGTCAACATATATCTATGTCTGCTCACAAAGCGCGAAGGGTAATTGATCAAATTCGTGGGCGTTCCTACGAAGAAACAATTATGATATTAGAACTCATGCCTTATCGAGCATGTTATCCAATTTTTAAATTAGTTTATTCTGCAGCAGCAAATGCTAGTTTCAATATGGGTTCGAATGAAGTAAATTTAGTCATTAGTAAGGTGAAGTCAATGAAGGTACTATTGTGAAGAGATTAAAACCTAGCGCTCGAGGGCATAGTTTTGCGATACAAAAACCTACCTGCCATATAACTATTGTAATGAAAGATATATCCTTAGATGAATATACAGATACCGAATCTATTACATGGTCACAAAAACCTAAATCGAAAAAAAGCATACAACTATGTCGTATTACGATATGTATAGTAATGGGGGAACATGGGACAAAACATAAATCCAATTGGTTTCAGACTTGGTACAACCCAAGGTCATCATTCCCTTTGGTTCGCACAACCAAAAAATTATTCTGAGGGTCTGCAAGAAGATAAAAAAATAAGAACTTATATCCAGAATTATGTACAAAAAAATATGAAAACATCTTCTGGCGTCGAGGGAATTGCACATATAGAGATTCAAAAAAGAATCGACCTGATCCAAATCATAATCTATATGGGATTTCCAAAAATCTTAATTGAAAGTCGACCCCGAGGAATCGAAGAATTACAGATGAATTTACAAAAAGAATTTCATTCTGTAAATAGAAAACTTAACATTCCTATCAGACGAATTGAAAAGCCTTATGAAAATCCTAAGACTCTTGTAGAATTTATAGCGGGCCAATTAAAAAATAGAGTTTCATTTCGCAAAGCAATGAAAAAGGCTATAGAATTAACTGAACAAGAAGATACAAAAGGAATTCAAGTGAAAATTGCAGGACGTATCGACGGAAATGAAATTGCGCATGTTGAATGGATCGGAGAGGGGAGGGTTCCACTCCAAACCATTCGAGCTAAAATTGATTATTGTTCCTATACAGTTCGAATGATCTATGGGGTATTAGGCATCAAAATTTGGATATTTATAGATGGGGAATAATAAACCTTTATTCCTTTTGCATTCTATCCAGCGATGGAACAAAAAATGAGAAATTCGTTTCTTCTTTTTATTTTGTGTTCAATAAAAAAAATGAACAATTATAATTCTATAGGGTTGAATAAAAATTCAATTAATCTTTTGATAAAATTGCTATGCTTAGTGTGTGACTCGTTGGTTTTTTGAGGGTTAGTATAAAAACCAGCCCCACGGTATAAACAAATAACTATAGAAGTAATAACCAACTCATCACTTCGTATTATCTGGATCCAAAGAATCAGTCAAGATATGATATATTGTTCATATTGTTGTAGCAACTGAAATCTTTTTTTATTATTTATTAAAAAATATGCTTCTAAGTTGTCAATCGAAAAAAAAAGGGTATGGATAAATGGAAAGATGAGAGAAAGAAAGAAAAAGAATATTGATGAGATAGAATTCCAATATGTAAGGTCTATGAGTCATTTCAGAAAAAGCTGTATAATAAAGCATCAACACGGATTCATCATTAACATTAAATGGATCTGCTCATCGAACAAAAAATAAAGAGCTTCGAGCCAATAAAGGCTAAGAATATTGACTCAAGAACTAAGAGCTCCATTGTAGACTTCAGACCTAACCATTAAGTAAGAAGCGATGGGAACGATGGAACCTGTGAATTCAAAAGATTCTAGTGAAAATGAATTCGAATGATTCATGGATCGGGATGACGGAACCGACCAGAAACCAATTCATCTATTCGGAAAAGTTATGACCTAAAGATAGAACTGAAATACAAATTGAAAGAGTAAATATTCGCCCGTAACACTTTATTTTCTTGGATTGCTAAATTTGGGTCAATCCAATACGATAAAGAGTAAAACAAAAGAAAGATTCGTTTTAACAGTCTAAAATAGATAAATATAAGAAAAAAATAGTTATGTTATTTAATATATTTAGTTATCTATACAAAAAAGATATACAAATTCATAATAGATTTGATCTAGATTAAATGAAATCCATGATTCATTATATTACTTATTAAATACATGTATATTTTCATTCAAATTATATTCTATCTGAATTGAATTCAAAATGTTTAATTTGAATTCATTTTATTCGCGAGGAGCTGGATGAGAAGAAACTCTCACGTCTAGTAGTTCTGTAGTAGAGATGGAATTCAAAATAAACCATCAACTATAACCCCAATAGAACCAGATTCCGGAAACAACATAGAGGAAGAATGAAGGGAATATCTTATCGAGGTAATGCTACTTGTTTTGGTAAATACGCTCTTCAGGCACTTGAACCCGCTTGGATCACCTCTAGAAAAATAGAAGCAGGTCGACGAGCAATGACACGAAATGCACGTCGTGGTGGAAAAATATGGATCCGTATATTTCCAGATAAACTAGTTACAGTAAGACCCGCAAAAATACATATGGGTTCAGGTAAATGCTCTCCCGAATATTGGGTAGCTGTTGTTAAACCAGGTCGAATACTTTATGAAATGGGTGGAGTAACAGAAAATATAGCCAGAATGGCTATTTCAATAGCAACGTCCAAAATGCCTATACGAGGTCAATTCATCATTTCAGGATAAAAAAGAAATAGGCCTTGGGTAAAAAAAATAGCGGGTGCGGGTTTCTTTTTTTGGACAAACAATATTTCTTTTTTTTGTTCGACCTTTGTATTGTAAAACACAGATAAAAAATATGATATGATTCAACCTCAGACCCATTTGAATGTAGCAGATAACAACGGGGATCGAGAATTGATGTGTATTTGAAGCATAGGAGCTAGCAATCGCCGATATGCTCATATTGGTGACGTTATTGTTGCTGTGATCAAAGACGCAGTTCCAAACATGCCTCTAGAAAGATCAGAAGTGGTCAGAGCTGTAATTGTCCGTACTTGTAAAGAACTTAAACGTGACAACGGTATGATAATACGATATGATGACAATGCCGCAGTTGTGATTGATCAAGAAGGAAATCCAAAAGGAATGCAAGTTTTTGGTGCGATTGCCCGAGAATTGAGACAGTTCAATTTTACTAAAATAGTTTCATTAGCCCCTAAGGTATTATAGGTATTATAAAATCAGAGCACGATATGGTTATAGTAGGGTATTTAAAAGAAATATATTAAGATTCATTTAGTAGATTTTGTCTCACGTATATACCTTTCAAAATTTATATTCATAAACAAATACGTAAAAAAAAACATGTTGATTATATCCAAATTTGGAGGCACCAATAATTTTAATTAATCATGGGTAGTGATACTATTGCTGACATAATAACCTCTATACGAAATGCCGACATGTATAGAAAAAGCGTGGTTCGAGTAGCATCTACTAATATCAGCCAAAGTATTGTTAAAATACTTTTACGAGAGGGTTTTATCGAAAATGTGAGAAAACATCGAGAAAACAACAAATGTTTTTTGGTTTTAACCCTACGACATAGACGGAATAGGAAAAGGACTTACAGAAATCTTTTAAATTTAAGACGGATCAGTCGGCCGGGTCTACGAATCTATTCTAACTATCAAAGAATTCCTAGAATTTTAGGTGGGATGGGGATTGTAATTCTTTCTACCTCTCAGGGTATAATGACAGACCGAGAGGCTCGACTAGAAAGAATAGGCGGAGAAATTTTGTGTTATATATGGTAATCCTTCTAATATCCGAATTCAATACGAAACTTCTTATTTGTGAAAATGAAAAGAGAAGGGGTGGGTTGTCTAATAGGGTTCTTCCTCCACTAGTTGATACTTCAAGGGGGTTTTACCTGTAATTAAAGAACAAAAGTGGATTCATGAAGGTTTAATTACTGAATCGCTTCCCAACGGCATGTTCCGGGTTCGTTTAGATAATGAAGATATGATTCTAGGTTATGTTTCAGGAAAGATTCGACGTAGTTTTATACGGATACTTCCAGGAGATAGAGTCTAAATTGAAGTAAGTCGTTATGATTCAACCAGAGGTCGTATAATTTATCGACTCCGAAACAAAGATTCGAAAGATTAGGTGTTTTTTCAACTTCACTATTTATTTCGTAGGAATACGATTAAAAATAGAAAATTTCAAGAAACTTATTTTCTTCCAAAAAGTGGATTCAAAAATTAAAGTAAGGAGTGGGAAATATGAAAATAAGAGCTTCTGTTCGTAAAATTTGTGAAAAATGTCGACTAATCCGTCGTCGGGGACGAATTAGAGTAATTTGTTCCAACCCAAGACATAAACAAAGACAAGGATATTCAGCCTTGTTAAAGACCCGATATAAAAATAAGAAGGGGATCTGTTTTGACATGACATGGATATATCCATATATCTCTGACTTAAATTTATGAGATGATAAAATATGGCAAAAGCTATATCGAAAAAAGGTTCACGTGGACGTATTGGTTCACGTAAGAGTACACGTAAAATACCAAAGGGGGTTATTCATATTCAAACAAGTTTCAATAATACCATTGTGACTGTTATAGATGTACGGGGGCGAGTGGTTTCTTGGTCCTCTGCTGGTACTTCTGCCGCAACAGGAAATGCTATTCGTACAGTAGTAGATCAAGGTATGCAACGAGCATAAGTCATGATTAAAGGTCCCGGTCTCGGAAGAAACGCAACATTACGAGCTATTCGCATAAGTGGTATAGTATTAACTTTCGTACGGGATGTAACCCGAATGCCATATAATGGCTGTAGACCCCCGAAAAAAAGACGTGTGTAGAAATAAAAATTGAAGATATTTCAATAGCAATAGAAACAAAGGAAGAGAAACAAGAGAAATAAATGATTCAATGATCTGATCAAATAATATTATTATGGTTCGAGAGAAAATAACAGTATCTACTCGGACACTACAGTGGAAGTGTGTTGAATCAGCAGTAGACAGTAAGCATCTTCTTTATGGGCGCTTTATTCTGTCTCCGCTTATGAAAGGTCAAGCAGACACAATAGGCATTACTATGCGAAGAGCTTTGCTTGGAGAAATCGAAGGAACATGTATCACACGCACAAAATCTGAGAAAATATCACATAAATATTCTACCATAATGGGTATTCAAGAATCAATACATGAAATTTTAATGAATTTGAAAGAAATCGTATTGAGAATTAATCTCTATGGAACTTGTGAGGCGTCTATTTGTGTCAGGGGCCCCGGATATGTAACTGCTCAAGATATCATCTTACCGCCTTATGTAGAAATCCTCGATAATACACAACATATAGCTAGCTTGACGGAACCCAATTAGTTGGTTATTGGATTACAGATAGAGAAGAATCGCGGATATCTTATAAAAGCGCCAAATACCTTTCAAGATGGAAGTTATCCTATAGATCCTGTATTCATGCCTGTTCGAAATGCGAATCATAGTATTCATTCTTATGAAAATTGTGACAACCCGAAAATCATTGTCTCGTAAAACTCAACAATTCATTTCAGCCAAGTGTTGCCCTCGTTTTTGCTATCTTTTAACGCGTTTTTAGGTCTATATGAGTGCTCTAGGCTGAGTACAACCTAGATATGAGTCTAAGAATGGGTTACAAAGTGTCTAGCATCAAGAAATCGGACCAAACACACCAAAGGAGGTGTGTGCGGCCGCACACCCGCGTGTGCGGCCGCACACCCGCGTGTGCGGCCAGCCAGCCGCACACCCCCTCCAGCCTCACACTCGACCCTATATATTGAACATTTAGCCAACCTTACACCCCTTTTCTCCCACTCCTTCAAAGCTGGAACTTTCTCTCTCTAGAATCTTCATCCAAGAACACTCTAAGGCCCTCAAAAACATGAAGTACTCCACCATTCAACTTGTTATATTGGTAAGACACCAGAATCTAAGGCTAAAACTCATAGTGTTCTTCGTGTTCTTCATCCTTTGAAGGTGTGCGGCCGCACACACATCATGTGTGACCGCACACACCTCTTTTGGCCCTAAAATGGACTTAAACACTCCTTTAAGCATAGCAACGGCCCAAAATACCTTCTTAGGATCATCCCCAAGCCTTGGAAAATCGATTTGGGCACATTTAGGTGGGAGTGTACGGCCGCACACAGGCCTGGCCGCACACTCTAGCCGCACACAGGCCTGGCCGCACACTCCTGGCCGCACACATGTCCTGACCGCACACACAACCACACATAGGGTCGCACACTCACAAAACTTCATGTTTTGTGGCCTTACACTCATCCTAAGGGTCCTACACTCATTTGGGGACTTCATATGTATTAGTAACACTTGATTCTAAGTGTTCTTATGTCTCTAGAGTGTTTTCCCTATGTCTATTAGTGTGTTATATGCTAATGGTATTCCTACATGTGTAATTACATGTTAACTAGGATTCGTTGTGCTCACAACTCCATCCGACACCCGACGATCCTATATCGATCTTTCATCCGAGTCATTCACTTCAGGTGAGTTCATACCCCTGAATCAACCTTTTAAATGATTTTAAATGTTTTTATGGGGGGGGGATACAAGTTAAACTATAGAGTTATTATATCAATCACATGTGATTAATAACTGTATAGCAAATAGATTTTTGCATGTTAAACTGCTTTATCTAGCTAAAGATTTTCAAATCTTGTTTTCAAATCTCTTTTAAAGTATGAATATCCTTTTTAGATTATTAAAGCTTTTCCAAAGGTTTTACCAAAATTTCTTTTATGCTTTTATATTGAAAAATGCATGCCTGTATATGTATAGTTATATAAGTAATGTTTAAAGGACTTAGGAAGGCTAGCTCGCTTTAACTCCTTTTCCTTGTTTGGATGTGGCTTTAGGGTATCGGTTATCCGTCCGAAGGTCGTTTAAATATTAGTTATATATCATGTATACATATATAGTCATAAAAGTTCTATCAGCCAGTTCATTTTCTTTGGGTATCAAAGGTATCTAGATAACCTCTCAAGTAAACTATAATAGGTATAGTTTAGAAACCAACCATAACTTTCATGAAGGAGAACTTAGTTACATCTAGATTCTAAAAACTTATACTTTTAGTAAAAGAAAGGTTTATAGAAATCAAAACACGGGATACATCCTCACGACGCGGATTTCACCGTTGTCGAGCGGTAACCAGAGTCTCCTGGAGGGAGAGCGGGCATTATGTGTATAGATCAATACGAGATAGACACTCACACATCCTGACTGCTAGCTACAGTCCCGACTGACCAAGCCAAGGGGTAACAAATGTCACATTCACTCCGACGCCAGCAGGTCGTCAAAGTATTCGATTGTCAATCAGTATGGTTACAAGTATCTCTACGCTTACCTTATAATTCATGGCTTTAAGGTATTAAGTATTATCACGGTATTTTCTATATATGAAATCTTCATAATCTATTTTCCTAGTTATACACTAGGCTACATTATAAAGCTTTAAACCAACCCACATAGGATTAAATGCTATTTTAGACTCTCCGAGGCGTGTTGTTCATTGAATACCACCCTGGAGTCTGTATTTTATTCTTTTAGACTCTCCGAGGCGTGTTGTTCATTCAATACCACCCTGGAGTCTATGTTTTATTTACTTTTAGCCAGCAGTGTTACTGCTGAGGCAAAAATATTATTTTCCCTATTACTTTTGATTGTGATCTGCTCACATATGCTTTAAAAGTATAAATCATATTTTGATAATGATAGTACCTTTAAGGGGAAAATGTTTCTTAAACATAAAACAATTGAGTCTTGGTAGAAGACTACTTTTATTAGAAAATATAGGATTTTCTGGAAGGAATTCTAATACTCTGTAAATTCTAATCACCATCATAGTGTGAGATTATTTTGAAGTAAAACACGTATTTATACCAATGTCATTAAATACTTATGAACTCACCAGCATTTAAAAATGCTGATACTTGCTTTCAAAATAACTTGTATTCTCAGGTCATCCGTAGGCAGGTACACTCCGGGAGCTTTTTTTTGAAGACAACCTTGTACCGAGCTACATTATATGTTATTCTCCGTATTTACTTTTGATGTTGTTGCTAAATGTAATCTATGTAAAATTATTACTATTAATGAAATGGTTGTTGTACTTTGATTAGTATACTACATATGTTGTGATACTTGACATGACGTCCTCCAACCCCAGAACGTTTCCGCCGTTCCGGTTTTGGGGGTGTGACAAAAATGGTAACAAAGAGATACTATTTCTCGAAATATGGACAAATGGAAGTTTAACTCCTAAAGAAGCACTTTATGAAGCCTCCTGGAATTTGATTGATTTATTGATTCCCTTTTTACATACCAAAGAAGAAAATTTAAATTTAGAGGGCAATCAACACATGGTTCCTTTACCCCCTTTTACCTTTTATGATAAATTGGCTAAACTAACAAAAAATAAAAAAAAATGGCGTTGAAATCGATTTTTATTGACCAATCAGAACTGCCTCCCAGGATCTATAATTGCCTCAAAAGGTCCAATATATATACATTGTTGGACCTTTTGAATAACAGTCAAGAAGATCTTATGAAAATGAAACATTTTCGCATAGAAGATGTCAAATAAATTTTAGGCATTCTAGAAAAAAATTTCGTAATTGATTTACCGAAAAATAAGTTTTAAATTCATTGGTTTTTTTTCATCATTTTTTTTAGAAAAAGGCCGAAAATAGGTTTTGAATCTTTAGGACAATTCATATATTCGGAATTGGCATAGATTCATAATTTAATTGAATAGATGTATCTGGGGAGAATTCAGTTTGAAGCGACTGTTCCCTAGATACATACGTCGTGACATTTTATTTCACAATTGAGTCAATTTAAAAAAGACCTAAAGTTAGGGATTTATCAATACGTAATGTTGCACCAATACCCAACCAAAGGGCCACTGCGGTACCAATCAAAAATACGGTTGTCGCTATTGGACGACGAAATGGATTTTGGAATTTATTAGCATTCTCTAAAAAAGGTATTGTTAATAATCCCGCAGGTACTGAAACCATTAAAAGAACACCCAATAATTTATTGGGTACTGTACGAAGTATTTGAAATACGGGAAAGAAATACCATTCGGGTAATATTTCCAAAGGAGTTGCAAATGGATCTGCCGGTTCACCAATCATCGATAGTTCTAGAACCGCTAAGCCTACGTTACATGCAATAGTACCTAGAATTACTACCGGAAAAATATATAAAAGATCATTGGCCATGCGGGCTCCCCGTAATAGTTATGACCCATACCTTTAGCCAATTTCGCTCTTAATACAGGATCATTCAAGTCAGGTTTTTTTGTTATTGGGATAGGCGAATTCTTATAGATCCATCCCCCGGAGGAACCGAACATGATAATTTTTCATCATCTAGCTCGAGCAAGAATCAAAAGAAACAAATGAATCCATATAAAAATATATGTTAGCTAGACACCCGCATATACGATATATGAACATATACGATATATGAACATATACGATATATGAATGGTTTTATGTAAGTAAAATAAAAATTTTACTGGATTCGTTTTTCTCGAGTTGAAACTATCGAGTGTAAAAAATTAAATTCTTATAAATAAATACTCAATACCCAAGTAGGCTTATAAAATAGATCGTGATATGATCAATTGCTTTATGGGTCGTCTCAGACCTTATGATTGGTGTTTATCCCCAAAGAGACCTTTTATAAACACACACAAAGGATTTACTTGTTACTAATATAGCCTAGCCTCTGTTCTTCTTTAGACCCTTTTTTCACTCCGATAGTATCCTAGATTGCATCAATGCAGAGGAAATGAATGCATTTGTATACTATTAAATTCAATCTGAAGTTAGGTGGACTAGATCTTACAGAGCCTGCTCATGTATGACATAATTCCTATCTGATCATAGAAAAGATTCTCTTTAAGCGAACCTGCCTATCCTCTGTATGGGCTTACATGATGGTTGGAACAAAGACACATTTGGTTGTGAATTAAATGTGGCAGATAATCAGATATCTGCACAGACCAATCAATAGTTCAAGTCACACACTCCCTTAATCCATTTTCTCTTCGGAAAATTCCATTCAACTATTTATGTCAAATAAATTGCGGAGTTCAAGGGAAATATCCGAATACATGTCTTATTATTTTCAATAATCCATACTTGTAGCAATAAAATACTATTGTTCCTACCCCAAGTGATAAATGATGAATTCAAAAGATCTATGCTATCTCTTCTCTATAAAGGACCATAAATACCTTGTTTACGTATCATTGGGAAGTGCATTAACATAAATACGACAGTAAGAAGCGGCAATACAAAAGTGTGTAAACTATAAAAACGAGTCAAAGTGGATTGTCCCACACTAGCACGTCCGCGCAATAATTCTACCAAAGGTGATCCTATTACAGGAAAAGCTTCAGGTACACCTGTTACAATTTCACTTCCCAATAACCAATTTGGTCCCGAGGTAAGGAATAACCGGTTACAGCAAAAGATGCAGTCAATACACGCAGAATCACACATGTAACCCAAGTTAATTCGCGAGGTTTTTTAAATCCACCGGTGAGATATACACGAAATACATGTAGGATCATCATTAGGACCATCATACTTGCCGACCACCGATGAACTGATCGGATCAGCCAACCAAAATTAGCTTCAGTCATTATGTATTGAACAGAAGCAAAAGCATCAGTAACGGTCGGACGATAGTAAAGGTCATAGCAAATCCTGTAGCCACTTGGACTAAAAAACAAGTAAGCGTAATTCCCCCTAGACAATCAAATATGTTTACATGAGGAGGAATATATTTACTAGTTATATCATCTGGAATCGCCTGAATCTCGAGACGTTCTTCAAACCAATCATATACTTTATTGAGATAGGCCCGGTTCCCCCTCCAAGAACTGTATATGAGACTTTCATCTCGTACAGCTCAAGCAAAAACACCCAAATATTGGTTGAACGGATATGTAGTAGAAAGTTTGAAACTTATTACTTCCCGACTCCATCTGTTCTGAAGATACGAATAAAAAATCCGGAAGTTCTTCTTTGTGGCGATAATACCAAAATATCAAGTTGGCTTACACATCTTTATCTTGATCCTTATGGGCCTCTTGAATCCTCTCTTCCCCTATTTCTTTCTTTTTCTTTTATTTGTTTTTTATATATAATGTTTATTATTTGTTTTCTTGATTATTGATAGGAATTCTCTTGTTAAGACCCTATGAATAGATTAAAACCCCAGATTCATACTATAACCACGATGATTCAATAAAAATACTAAGTTAAGCCCAAAGATTCCCTGAGTAAGAACCATCGGATCATCACTTATTCCACGAATAGATAATTACCAAAAATATGAAGAAATATTTGTCTTTGAGTCAAACTAAGCATAAATAGGCATTTGAAAGAAGAAACAATTTCGATTTATTTTTAGAAATTCTAATTCTTTGAAATCTTTTTGGAGTCTGGCCGCGAGGTTTGAATATTAAGTATGAATCATAGTTCAAATATTTCTTAATCTATTTCATATATTCCGTGTTCCAGATACTATAATAAATATCTGACGAAGTAGAACCATCTCTATCAAGATGACAGACACATTCTCTGTAATATCAATAGGATCAATTATAACAAGTCACACACTCATATTCCAGAAATACAAAAACAAAAAAAATTCCACGGTCGAACTAACAAAATAGAATGAGCTAGAAATCCGAGCTCTAAATGATTCATTTTTTATTGAAAAGCTAGGACTTGTGGGTTCTTATAGATCTAATTCATTGAAATTCCATCCAATAAAACGGAAGAATTATAAATCTCCAAAATAATAGATAGAAATACCGCAAATAGAGCCATTGCGACACCCATCAAAGGGGTCGTTCCCCACCTAGGAGCTACTTTACCATATTCCGAATTCAATGGTTTTAATAAATCCCCTACAGTAGTTCGTCTTGGACCAGATCTAGCACCGTTCTCAATAGTTTGTGTAGCCATAAATCTTATTGTATTCATTGAAATCTGTTGACATTGTATACTTTCTCATTGTAAATAAACGATCTTATCATAGATCCATTGTGGTCTTGAAATTATATAATAATGGAAACAGCAACCCTAGTCGCTATCTTTATATCTGGTTTACATGTAAGTTTTACTGGGTACGCCTTATATACCGCTTTTGGGCAACCTTCTCAACAACTAAGAGATCCATTCGAGGAACACGGGGACTAATTGAAGTAATGAGCCTTCCAATATTGGGAAGCTCATTACTTCAACTGTGATAATGAAAAATCATTTCATTTTTTTTATTTTTTAGTTGGAACTTTTGGAGGTTCTCTAAAAAAGATAGCGAAAAAAATTATCCCTAGAGTCGAGACTAAGAGGAATGTATAAACCAATGCTTCCATAGATTCGATCGTGGTTTACAATTATAGCTTCCATACCTGTTTATTTTTTGTTTCTTTTTTGGGGGATCATATCCCGAATAAAGAAATAGCAAGAGTAACAAAAAAATGACGATGCAAATCAAGATTGGTACCCTATATCAAAATAAAATAGATTCGAAAGACACCAAAGAAATGTTATATCAGCCTATTTGTTTTCTTGTAGTTGGATCTCCAAGTTTTTGGAATGCTCCAAATTGTACTTGAGCATCCAAATCTGGGTCAATACCAGCAAAAACATCTCCAAACAAGGTTCGGGCACCATGCCAAATGTGTCCGAAGAAGAAGAGCAACACAAATGAAGCATGTCCAAAAGTAAACCAACCCCTCGGACTGCTACGAAAAACACCATTGGATTTCAAAGTAGCATGATCTAAATCAAAAATTTTCCCTCATTTAGCGCGTCTAGCATATTTTTTCACAGTAACAGGATCACTATAACTGACTCCATTGAGTTCACCACCGTAGAATTCAACAGTTACACCTACTTGTTCAACACTATACTTAGATTCCGCCCTTCGAAAAGGAACATCGACTCTAACAATCCCATCTCCGTCTACCAAAACGACCGAAAATGTTTCAAAAAAGGTATGCATACGACGTACAAAAAGTTCACGCCCTTTTTTATCTCTAAAAATAGGATGTCCTCACCATCCAACCGCTATTCCATCCCCGTTATCCATTGAGCCTGCCCTGAATAATCCCCCTTTTGCCGGATTATTTCCGATGTAATCATAAAAGGCTATTTTTTCAGGAATTTTAGACCAAGCTTCTGATAAACTTTGCTTTTCGGCTAACCCAACACTAACTGTTCTATATATTTCTTGTTGGAAGTACCCTTGATCCCATTGATAACGAGTAGGCCCAAATAATTTGATGGGGGTAGTCGATGAACCATACCACATAGTTCCGACAACAACAAAAGCTGCAAAAAAGACAGCAGCGATGCTATTGGAAAGGACAGTTTCAATATTGCCCATACGCAATCCTTTTTGTAGACGTTGGGGCGGGCGGACACTAAGATGGACTAGGCCTGCTAATATGCCCAAAGTCCCTGCCGCAATACGATGAGAGGCTATTCCTACCGGAACAAAAGGATCAAAACCCTCCACACCCCATGATGGATTTACAGCTTGTACTTTTCCTGTTAGTCCATAAGGATTGGACACCCATATGCCAGGACCATACAAACATGTTACGTGAAATGCTCCAATACCAAAGCAAGCCACACCTGCAAGAAATAAATGTATTCCAAAGATCTTGGGCAAATCCAAAGAAGGTTTTCCTGTACGTTCATCAGAAAATATTTCTAGATCCCAATACACCTAATGCCAGATAGCTGGCAAAAAGCACAACCCAGAAAACACAATATGCGCTCCGGCCACACCTTCGTAACTCCAAATACCCGGATTGGTTATAGTCCCCCCCATGATACTCCAACCACCCCATGAATTGGTTATTCCTAAACGAGTCATGAAGGGTATAACGAACATACCCTGTCTCCACATTGGATCAAGAACAGGGTCAGAAGGATCAAAAACAGCTAATTCATACATGGCCATAGAATTGGCCCAACCAGCAACCAAAGTTGTATGCATTATATGAACAGAAAGCAACCGTCCGAGATCATTCAATACAACGGTATGAACACGATACCAAGGAAAACCCATGGAAATACCCCTTTATGAAAGAAAAAAGACATTACGTAACTTTATTGGATTGGAAATGTACTATGACTATGTTATGGACCCCCTCTTTAGTGGATTATTTCAACGCAAGGGTTCATATTTGTTCTATTCTGTCGGTAATAATGGAACAATTTTGTTCGTAGGAACAAAGAGAAGCAGATTTATTCTATACTCGATAAGTACCAATACGCAATGGGGAGGTTAATGCCATTTTATATGAGCGAATGTGCCCATACTTGTTCATCATTAAAGGACACTATTCGTAATAATTTTCCCTTATTTTTTCTGACTTTCTTTATAAATTTTTCTGATTTATGAATAAAATTGATAATAAAATATGATTAGGATAAAGTACAATATTATAAAGATAATTATAAAGATAATAATGGCTTTGTTACGTTTCCACATCAAAGTAAAATCTACTACTGAGTTCTTTTTTTCTTTCATTTAATGCCTATTGGTGTTCCAAAAGTACATTTTCGAAGTCCTGGAGAGGAAGATGCATCTTGGGTTGACATATAGTGCGACTTGTCAGATATATTGGGTCATATGGGATTTCCCCGTTTTCTGCCCAATCGAGATATCCTGTTTCGCCCACGAAATATTAATTGAATCATCAAAAATTTGGAGCGTGAAGTGCAATTAGATCCATTTTTTGGGGGGATTCAAATTACTATTATAAATTAGAAGAATTTATGGTTGGCTTAATTGGACTACTACATTGAAGTATCCAGGCTCCGTTTAAAAAAAACCAAGTGATAATATAACTATTTTATATAATAAAGGATTCCTATTTTTATTTGATTTGAAAGAAATCGTTTTTTGTAAGTAGAAGTTATTTCAAACTCTTATGTTAATCAATCGAGTAATATGCATGAAGCCGTCAACTATTTTACGGAATGCTTGAATTAAAAAAAAAAAGGAAGGCATAAGAAAAAGAAGTGGTAATGGGAGCATTTGTACTATATGTGCAAATCAAAATGGGGAGAATCTTTACCCGTAGTAGAGCATAAACCTAAAAAGATTAAAGTGGCCCATTTAAGAACAAGAAAATAACATCGTGATTTGGATTGAATCGCGATGAAAGAATCCATCAATGAGAAGTTAATTGGATAAGTTTAATGAATTCTTTTTTGATATTATACGTTATTAAGGAAAGGAAGACAAACTCGTGTTTAGTGAAAAATAAAAGAAAATCCTTTTTTATAAGTTAGAAGAAACTTGCTATGAAAAAATAAAAAGTATTTGCATCTACACATTGATTCTTTTTTTTTGAACCGTATGCATCAAAAGACGCCTGTACGGTTCCGAAGGGATTTGACCCTAATCAACCGACTTTATCGAGAAACATTACTTTTTTTAGGTCAAGAGGTTGATAGAGAGATCTCGAATCAACTTATTGGTCTTATGATATATCTCAGTATCGAGGATGATACCAAAGATCTGTATTTGTTTATAAACTCTCCTGGCGGATGGGTAATACCGGGGGTGGCTCTTTATGATACTATGCAATTTGTGCAACCAGATGTACATACAATATGCATGGGATTAGCCGCTTCAATGGGATCTTTTATCCTGGTCGGAGGAGAAATTACCAAACGTCCAACATTCCCTCACGCTTGGTGCCAATGAGGCTTTTATTTGAGAGAAAAAAAGAAGACTATGCCTTCGCCATATGAAATATGAATATTAAGTAATAATAGATTGACAATTTGAATTCGATATAAGAAACTTTATTTTCAAAACATTAGATTATGTATCGAGAGAGTAATATGAGAAAAAGGTATTTCCGATTTTCTTATCGGAAGTCCAGTTCAGCGTCACAAACGTTTTTTCACACCAGAGGTCTCTTAACAATATTTATAGAGCGAAAAAAAACAAGATTCTTTTGTCCTTAGTTTATTTGATCATGTAAAAAAGCAACTTTGGGATTGCTTAATCATAGAGAAATCACAGACAAAAAAATATAATAAAATAAATATATAAAGCAATGGAGCCATCATAGTATTTTTGAATTCCTCTGAAAGGAAGGGTGGTAAGTTGATCATTTACCGATCGGGGTCTGATCGATCCTATTTTCTCTTTATTTGATGTAAGGTAAGGGTCAATTTTATTGTAGAGCCGTATGCAATGCATAATGCCCGTACGGTTGTTCGATTCTATCTTTTTTTCTTGTTATTATTTTATCTTTGCTTTATCTTCCATTTATCATGCGAAATAAAGAAACCTTTTATTTTCTTATGTCATCAGGGTAATGATCCATCAACCTGCTGGTCCAAATCACAGATCCTAGTTCCTCTTAACGTCTAAATCCATAAAGTCGCGGACTTGGTGACTTTGCATGTCCCACATAAGCTCAAACTCCAAAAATGGTAATCTACTTCCATGAGAATGGTCTTAACTCTTGCATGAACGCATTAAGACCTCAAATATGTCAATTTTCTATCTTAGGGACCTATTTAGCAGTGAGAGTGGAAACTCTAAGCCTAGGAATCAGATTTAAACCATAAAGCTCCATCCTTGGGACCAAAAAGGTCCAAAAACTCAACATAACAGATCTAAGCATTCAAGAGGAAAGTTCAAGAGTTTATACCTCAAAATGGTCTGAAATGAAGCAACAATCTCGGATCTACAACTTCTCCTTGGAACCGCCACCTTGCTTTGCTCTTCACTTGCTTGGAAAATGGATGAACAACACCAAAATGCTCTCTAATGGCCTTTTAAGCTCCAAGAACACTCAAAGAAGGATTAGGGTTTCGTGGTGGCTGTCTAAGGGTGAGAAGGAGGCTGATATCTTGGGAATTATGTTCTTTATATAGTGTTAGCCATAAAATTAGGGTTTTGGTATGAAGGGAGTATGCCCAGCGTATCTCTTTGTACACCCGACGTACTCACAAACCACCCGCGATACCTTTATCCTTATACGCTGGGCGTAACCCAGCATAAGCTGGGCATTCCCAGCCAGACACGTGCATGCATTCCCTTACATGCATGGGACTTATCCGCCAAACTTCTCCATTAGGGGCAAATTCTGCCAAAACCTTTAAAATGCTATAACTTCTTCGTTCTAAGTCCGTTTCCGACGAACTTTATATCCACGAAGAGGTGGCGAGAATCCCTACGCTCCTAGCTACACCCCAAGCCTAAAAACCTTCTGAATAAAACCCGAGACCCATATAAGACGGAATCGTCAGATTTCGCTTGTACCCTTGGCCTCCGAAGACACAATCAAACTCTTTCAAAACCGGGTGTTACAGGGATAAAGGTCACCTAACAATTTATTGATTTTCCAACTTGGATCCTAGACTTTGATATTTAATGTTTTTGGAAACTAAAAGGGTTTTAATTATTAAAGCTTTAAATATTGAAAATACTAAATGAATTTTGTTAAAATTTTGTAGAAAAATAATCCATTCTCATAACCATGAATTGTTATTTTCTTTAATGACTTAATGAAAAAATAACATTCAACAGATATAACATCAATGAATGAGTTCATGTCTTGAGAGATAATCTTGTGAGAAATATGAAATTATATACACTTAAAGATCGTAGTCCTAAACTACTTGCTTTGAGAAATAGACTTGAACATGATATGTAGTAAAGACATCACTATGATGCTAAAGATGCTTCTAACATCAAACTAGGAATAGTTATGCCGGACTTCCAGCAAGTTTTGGATACTTTTATATATATATATATATATATATATATATATATATATATATATATATATATATATATATATATATATATATATTATATATATATATATAACAGGTTAAACAATGTTCCAATAAATACAATGATATTTTGTTTTAAACTAGTTTAAGCAATGGAATACTACAAGGCTAAAAAGAGTCACCTTGTGTGATCTAAGAGACCCTTGTTTTTTGGTGTGAACACCTTTAAGCCAAAGAAATCGAATGCATATCATATTGATGGATCTTGTTTCTTTTGTGGAGAAACTGGACACTGGAAGAGGAACTACTCCTCTTATCTGGAAGGAAAGTTTTTAAGAGAGTAGTACTTCAAGTATCTACTAGATAGATCTCTTACTTTTCTTATAACAATCAAGTACTTGGTACTTAATGTTAATATAATATTTGTAAATGGCTTGTATATATTTTCAAAAGACTAACCAGCTGAGCATAATCAAGTTGGAACTACACTCTCGGAGTTTAGTTTATTATTTATGCTTAGAACATAAATTACTTGTAGTATGAAACAATGTTTGTTTTGGAAAAATGTATGCTTTAATTTAGCTTATCTAAATATATGTTCCGGTTATTTTAATGTATGAATGATCAACCATTTACTTAAATCATTTTTATAATGATCACCTTCACATTCAGAAATGATTAACTTCTATTTATGAGACTAGATCCCTTAATAGAATAATAAAGTAAATATAAATATTTTATAAATAACAAGTTCTTTATGCAAAGTACCTTTTGACTTAAACTTATTTTAAATCAAACTTATCAAATACATTGTTATCTTTATTATATAAATGAAATACACATATGCCAACTTCAAGAAATTAATCTTTGAAGACAAATAATATAGTTTATTTGACATATGTGAATCTTACTTATATATAAAAGATTCCTAATGATATTTTCACTAAGTAGTAGAGAAAATAATTATTAAGGAACTATACATTGTGATATATGACTTCCTCTCTAATGAACGTCTAAGATTTAGCACAAGATACAAAATCACCTTTATTAACAACTATAGTAGTTATAAATTATATTTTACATGTTAAAACATAATTGTGAAATATTTATTGAAGGTGTCAAATATAAAGTTGAGATACAAACCGGTAAGAACTATCTAAAGCCTTAATAATAATAAATGATGAATTAAATCTTACTTGGTATGATGTACTTTCTAATCGGTCAAAATATCCTTCTTTTATTTCCTTGGGATAACACCTAGAACACTATTAATTCTACTTTGAGTACAAATACCAACTA